CTGATTATTATTGAGTTGAATTACCATAAGAACCAAAATGTGAATAGTCAATTAGTACATCGAATGTTCTTAAGACCAATCTGCTAAACCAACATAATTTCAGGTGGTCAAATACACCATCTAATGAATTTCGCAGAAAGATTGATTGTTTTATATGGATAGGCATTGTAAAAAATTAGTCATTGGCCATCGTTTGTACATACTTCTTTCCGTTTCCTTCTCGTATACTTCCGTTTTTTGTTCTGAAAAAGTTATCATACTGACTTAAATATACATTTTCAAGAGAGTTTCAAAATATGAGAACATTTATTTCATCCCTAAATAGACAGCACAACTGAGACTCAGGTAGACAGATAGAGCTGAACAGATTAACAGACATAGGTTTTTTTTAAATATGTGCTGACTGAAAAGCAATATTATTCATAAAAGTAAAAGTTTGTCCTCTTCCTCCTCCTCCTCCTCCTCCTCCTCCTCCTCCTACTACTACTACTACTACTACCACTACTACTACTACTACTACTACTACTACTACTACTACTACTACTACTACTACTACTACTACTACTAGTAGTAGTAGTAGTAGTAGTAGTAGTACTAGTAATAATAATAACAATGATAATAATAATAATGGTCGTAAAAATACTTTACCTGTCAGTTTTACGACCATTTCTGCCTTTATTTCTCTTAACTTTATTTTCTATCACGTTTTTGTGTTGTTTGCTTCATGGAAATACTGGATATAATGCTCCTCTGTTTTCTAGACCATGTGAATCATCTCTGTCTTCGTTTTGATATTCTATCATTTATAAGACAGATTTCATGGCTTTTGTCTTCAATGTAAAGAAATCAAATTCGAATAAACTAAATATATATGAATGGTTACAATAATTGACTTACAATTAGCAGAAATGTATATTGTAAATGTACATATACATAATACAACTCCAAAAGTGTATATGATGTACATTGGTGTTCATGATTTCATATCCATCTATATCTTGTCATAATATGTTGTAGCTAGAGTAAAATTGAATTTATTGTTGTTTTTTTAGTAAACAAACAACATTTGGCTGGTGTTTAAGTCAGATGACCATGAAAACTTTAATGATTTTATTGGTAGTGAGCTAAACTATAATTACCATAACTCAAAATTTTCTAGAAATATTTTTGGGAGTCTCAGAATCAATTCTAGAACAAAAGAAGTCAAAAAGGAATAATATAATTTACAAAAAAGTTAAATTTCATCAATAGACAACTGCTTCTTCCCGATTTAAAACGCTAAAACCATATGCACCTACAACCTAATGGGTTATGAAGCGCAGAACCATTATGTCTTATTGCGAACATGTTCTCATTCAGTTCCGTTGTTAGAATCCAGTCGTATGACTCTTATGAATTCGTGATTTAGTATAACCACCATCTAATATTTTTAGAGAGCAGTCTCCTTCTAGAAGGTTTACATGGACTCATTTTCATGGCTTCCTGTCAGATCTTGGGAAAACTGATCTTGAAGTAATTAAATAATGACCACCGGGTTTGTACACAGTAGTAAAGTGTGCGTGGAATCGATCGATCTTAAACCAATCGTCATGAGTAGACATTATCTTGCATTGCTGAGCAGTCTCAAACTTGAACGAAACAATTATTCGTTACTTTCTGGTTTACAAAGGTTCTCTAATGGATATCGATCTGTGATGGATGGTTTGAAATAAGTCATTTCCACAGAATACTCCCAACTAGACTACAGTCTTCCTATAATTATCATGAAAAACGACCACTTTTCATTAATTCGCATAGCAGCTAGGGAAAACTCTTGGAGATAGAAGTGAAGTTACCACCTTGGCATCACCTGAGACTTGTTATTCACCTGTCGGATGTAAGATGATGCTCCAGGACTGGTTTGTAACTGCTCACAGTTTAGGGATAGGTAGTGTAGCGGTTAATTACGATGGCTACTTCACTTACTAGGGGAATTGCGTCAGCTCGAACTTGTTGATTGCTGACGAAATCGCGGCCCGTATACAGAAGACGCATTTGACATTTGCCAACTTGTGTCAACTCCGGAGCCAGTTGGCAAGATATTCGACTACCTATTCATAGGTGCGTATAGTGCGCTGCATTCCGTTCTGTACTGTTGTACGACTGTGAGAAATAGCAGTTATAGGTAGTAGATATGGAGCAATTAAAAATTTTTGGTCACAGGCACCTGCGTAGAACTGCTTATTTGTAGCGCATTCTCTATGTTGAGGCGAAGGGTGCTAGACGAGGAAGAGTAGGGGGTTAATGAGGTTTTCAAGCTCCAGTGAATAAGGCGGCTTGGAGATTTCCTGCCTATGCCAAGTCACTGTTTGGCTGGGCGTGTTATGCTATGAGAAGTTGGACTGGGTTAGAGGAGAGCTCAAGATGGCCAGACTATGACGTGGCATGAGTTCATGAAGTTTCTGACTCCTGGTTTCAGACCTATGTGAAGGTACCTGGGTGGGGTCCTCAAGATGACAAGAGTCAGTGGTTGGAGACATTTAATGAAACAGATGAGAATCGGTGACAGTTGCGCATATGTATTATATCCTGGTAGCCTTCATATGCTTGAATGTCTTGACTAACCTTAATATGTAAACTGCATCTCTGTCCATACACCTTTTTCTATTTTGAAATCAGTCTTCCTATCCACTTGTATTTTGCATGCTACTGTGACATGTGGCAACTTGAATCAACGTACTTGTATGCAGAGTTCTACATTGAATTTGCATTTGTATGTCTGTCAGTCACTTCTTATCCATTTGAGACAGTGCTTAGTCAGTGATTGGAGGGTCGTTTGTTCGAGTCCCGCCTTGAATATGAGTTTTGACTGGCCTTGAGTCATCTCCTCATATCAGTATCAAATCTGTTTGATAAGTGAGAGGGTTTATTCTATATAAATCTGTCAGAAATATTTTGTGGTGTATAGTAGGCTTTATGTGAGTTGAATGGATTACTACATCCATAAACTTAGTATCACATAGACGTGCTTTTCGAAGCGGTTGATCAAGGATCTTCAATCTAAGCATCGTAGTTGTTAATGTACATCATGAAGCTTTCTTCAAATGAATAGTTCTATTATTTTATAGATCAGTATTTCTATCCCATCCGCCTGTAGTACACATGAAACATTGTTTACTTCGGTCAAAAAATATCTATCAATCCGCTTCATCTCTTCATACATCTAAATGCATGGAAATTGAAAACTGATGTAAGTTGTATGAAGTCGTAATTGATCCTAGCCAACCGTAGGACAGTAACAAGGTCCTTTTTGCAATCACTTTCTTACAACAAAGCTTATGACTTTATAACGTTATTAAAATGTTAGGGTTATTCAAATCGTACTTATGAAACCAGAATTTGGTGCAAAAAAGTAACATAACACCTTTCTGGTACTTAGTTAACCCTCATATCCCATTATACTTTGCTAATGATGACTCACTTAAAACTGTATATAATTATCCTGTATTAGCTTCTTACATTTATGCATTCTATGATATGAATGTGACATCTAAAACAGAAATGTAGTGAGCTGCAGTATTACACTGCTCACTTAAGTTACTGCTGGACAAATTTGATCGAGATACACCAATAAGCATTGAATACATAGGACGATCGACTCCTATACACAGTCCAGTATTACATGGATCAGTCATAATTTGAATAGCTAAGTAACAGGTTTCTAACTACTGCAATGTATATACAGGGTTCAGTTCCCTGAAGAAGTAATGGCTTCCTCAAAACCACGTAGTCATTTTGGGGATGGGTGTGAACAAGTGTGAAATCCAACTTAGCAGCCTCTTGTCCACAGACTGCTTGGCGTACAAAACTATAGTCTTATCCTTTGTTTCACCAATAACACATTACTATAATTAGTACACCTTTCATGTCTCTCAGTATGGATTCAGTTTTCGTGAATAAACTGGGATTGTATACTTTTCAGTATTTTGTTTATTCAATAATTCCAGAAGTATTGATAAATTGGAGTGTTGAAAACGGTGTAAACACTCACTGAATTTATGTTTTTCAAGGATGAGAATGTTTCCTTGACATGTTGCGCATTATAAGTCATAAACAAAGTTACTCCTTTAAAAAGAATTCTTATCAGTTGAGGAAATAAGACAAACCGTCCTACGAATCAGGAATTATTTGGACTTAATATAATTTTTTGTGCAAGGCACAAGTGGCAACTTTTAATCTCATGAGAATCACTCTTCTACCATTGAACTGATTTAATGTCAAAGTATCCATGCTTAGCTCTCATCAGTTCACAATATGTGACAAATTATCGCTTACTACAGTCGGTGACCATTTCATCTGACTGCCATAAGCTGTTTAAGTGAATTTGCCAAAGTTTGAAAATGCTGAGCACTATAGTACAATCGAGTATATGAATTACATGTAATTCCTAAGTGATCCCATGTTCATTGACTCAGTGATATTTGCAAATGAGGATATACATCAGCTAACAGCTTTAAACAAAAACAAGCAATAGCACCGAAAACTATACCTATCACAAATGGAGTATCTATTGTAACTCAGTGGCCTAGTGGATAGCGCTTTGACATTCTGATCGGTCGGTCATGGATACAAGTCACTCATTGGTAGGCAGGTATATCCAACTGAAAAGTTCTAAATAAAACAGAACACTGTTAGCCACCACGCATAATTACTGTCAAAACGGCTGTCTACTCTAGATATTCCACTTTCTAAAGATTATCCCATTGATTACAGTTAGGGATAGAAAAAATGGCGAATTTTTCACAAACTTTTCAAGTCAGTTATTATGATTACCTTATTCATTGGAATGTTTCATAATGGCAAATAATCAGTGAGGATCCTGCTTTCATGAATATGTAGATACACTTTATTTCCCCTGACACTATTCTCCCTTCCTTCCATTTTACGATAAGTTCTTTGTAAAACAAAGAATTTATTGTATTTTCATTAACGTATAATTAATTAGGTGCCAATTATCTAAAATGAAATTATTTCATTCTGTAAATTACTATTTTAATCTCTGTGTTTATTTTTGCCAAGAGAATAAAATGTATATGATTACGGATGAATCAATGGTAATAAAGTGGAAAAGTGTACAGTGTTTGTATATGTATATTCCACTGAATAAATGTTTGTTACAAGATCATCTCCATATGTTCGTTATACGTTTTCGCAGTATAAACAAATATTTAACGTAAGATTTTTTTCTTGTTTACTAGTTAACCAAACATTAATTATTACTTTAAATAAAATATCCAGCAAGTGGAAAATATGGAGCCTGCTGCAAAAATTCCTCATAAACATAATGAACTGTAAATTCCAAGGAAATCAAGATCGTAAGTAGATGAATGAATCAAAATTACAAACCTTTCTTTTAAAATTACGTCATTCACCTATATAAGCAGCACTACTTCAACTACAGGCGGCACAGACGAGGATGTCAAAGCAGTCAGGATAGGAAAAGCAAAACAGGCCTTCATTAACCTGAAATCAGTGTGGAGATCTGCACTCAGAATAAAGCGTGAACAACATCCAGATTTTCAACACCAATGTGAGTCAAGTCAGTGCTTCTATGTGATGATTGAGGGACTCGGCGCATTACGAAAGGCATTTCCAACAAACTGCAGACATTCATCAGCAGCTGCTGCCTACGCTGGCTCGATACTGAAGATGGAGATCAGATGGATTGCCAGAATAATCAGAATAAGCAACAAGAAACTCTGGCTGGCTGGCTGGCTGGCTGGCTGGCTGGCTGGCTGGCTGGCTGGCTGGCTGGCTGGCGACGAACCAACCAATAACCCATCGTTCAAGAAATATGCAGAATGAAGTGGAGATGGATTGGGTATGCAGTGAGAAGACCATTCGGTGACATCACGCACCTGTCCAGTTGCTCGAGTGGAACCGAGATGGGAAACGACGAGTCGGGTGTCCGAGGTGAGGGTGACGTGGATGAGATCGTGCGAGGGGGAGATGAGAGCTTGTGGGGTGTCGTGAAGTCAGGTTGAAAAGATTTCAGAGAACAGAGTGGAATGGAGACGTTCTACTGAAGCCCTATGTTCCATTAGGAACCCAAGGGACAAATAATGATAATTCAACCAAATCTCTGAGTATGTGAATCGCAATGCTCACCTACAGCAATAAAGGACAGTATCACTATATAACCAGCTGAATGTAGTTGGAAAATTATGGTTACTGCTTTCGAATATAATGCTTCATGACTGAGCCAGAGAAATGTAGGTTGAACCTTAAAAAAGCTGAGTGATCATCACTACAGAGGCATCACACGAAAACATTTACTCAATCTTATCACGTTACGGAACGAATCTTTGCCTTCCTAAGGCAAGCAGCTACGGATAGTTAAACATACGTGCTACGTATTCATTCACTGAGTTATTTTTTTTGAATATAGAAACTAGACATTAGCCGGTGGTACCAATACACCATTGATTTGTAGTAAATTTAAAATAAAAGTACATCAGTATATAAGTTATGATCTGTTCTTAAAAGAAAATGTAATTTTCAACATGGAACAAAAAACAAGCGTATATTATTATTATTATTATTATTATTATTATTATTATTATTGTTTGTCACTTGGATTCCTAATAGAACATAGGGCTTCTCCTCCATGTCATCCTTACCTCGGATACCCAACTCGTCGTTTCCCATCTCGGTTCCACTCGAGCAACTGGACAGGTGCGTGATGTCACCGAATGGTCTTCTCACTGCATACCCAATCCATCTCCATTTCATTCTGCATATTTCTTGAACGATGGGTTATTGGTTGGTTCGTCGCCAGCCAGCCAGCCAGCCAGCCAGCCAGCCAGCCAGCCAGCCAGCCAGCCAGCCAGCCAGCCAGCCAGAGTTTCTTGTTGCTTATTCTGATTATTCTGGCAATCCATCTGATCTCCATCTTCAGTATCGAGCCAGCGTAGGCAGCAGCTGCTGATGAATGTCTGCAGTTTGTTGGAAATGCCTTTCGTAATGCGCCGAGTCCCTCAACCATCACATAGAAGCACTGACTTGACTCACATTGGTGTTGAAAATCTGGATGTTGTTCACGCTTTATTCTGAGTGCAGATCTCCACACTGATTTCAGGTTAATGAAGGCCTGTTTTGCTTTTCCTATCCTGACTGCTTTGACATCCTCGTCTGTGACACCTATAGCTGAAACGATGCTGCCTTGCCTGGGTAGGTGAAGGAGGCTCCTTCCTTTAAGTTTCCCCCGTTGGTGGTGATTGGAGCCTGTTGTTGTTGTTGGTGGCGGTGGCGGTGGTGTTGGTTGGGTATCTTCACCTGTCACCTCTGTCTTCTCTACAATCACCTGAAGTCCCGTCGTCTTCGTTGCCCTGCCTCGCCTCATCTCACCTCTTCTGTCAACTTGTTAGTTTTCGCCTGTAGATCTTCAAGTTTATGTGACATCAGGCACAAGGCATCGGTGAAATCCGAATCTTCTAGGATGTTTTCCCCGGTGCAACCAGCGTATCCCCCTCTTCTCACTCCTCACTGTTGTCTGCTGCATGATCCAGTCGACCACAACACAATCAGGAACATCATGGGTGATGGTGGGCAGCCTTGTCCTAATCCTTCCTGTCTTCACTTGAAAAGCGTCACTGAGCTGAGCTTCCCATTGTGAATTACTTGGCTGGCATGTGGCGTCTTCACATAGTTGTTGAATGAGGTTGATAAAGGTTTGTGGTATTGCGTAGTGTTGAAGCAGCAGTTGTCAAATTACTTGTTGGTCGACGCTGTTGGCGGCCTTCTCAAAGTGGATGAAGTTGAGGTAGAGAGTCGACTGCCTTCGGTATAATCGCTTTACCATAATCCATGAAGATCTATCCTTTTAATATGAGTCAGTGATCCACAATGGAGAAGTGCTGTATTACTTTTATAGTGTTACTGTTGTTGAGATTCCCACACTATATGATGCTATTGGTTAGACAAATCAATAAGTCCCATCCTTCTATCTACAGACATTATTTTGTAGTTTGTACACCGCTTTTTTGTAGCATTCCTCTATCGAAAGGACAATAGGATTATTTGCATTTTGCTATTAAACACTAGGTTATAAAGGCAAAACATTTCCTGATAATTATTTTAGTCAGGCAGATAATTAGCAAATTACACATCAGTTAGACAAATATGATAAATTATTAGAAGTGTACAGTATTTTTTTCTTAACGAGAGTTATGCCAGAAATGCTTGATGTGCCATTAAGCACCACTTAATGATCTGATGGTAATTTGCGTTTTTCTGTTGACGCACTAATAATGTATTATGAAAAATTAGTTCGCCAGCCAAGTTAAAAAGGTATTTACGGGAAATAAATCCAGGAGCATATACAATCAACATTGACTGTCCGACAAAATTTGAAAATAAATTATTCCTCCCTTCTCCACAAATGGATTTAAATCAGTTGTAATTTCTGAAAATCACTTGATAAGTTTTTCACTTTGTCCCATGACTTCCATCTTCACTACTGTCGGATGAATACTAGGGAGGAAACATTGTTCTTTTCATGATAGCCCCATACTTCTGTAAACTGGTAACATTTACGTATCAAGGTCAAGAATTTCTTACAAGCATCTTATGATTTTCAGTAAATAACTTTTAGAATTCATTTCGGTGGATAAGAGTTTAGATAGTGTATAGGAGCCAACTGAAGGACAAGTCTTCCGACCTTTTGGGACTCGTCAGCTTGATATACTTGCTTCCTAGCCAGTAGTGTTATTCACGCCAAGACTCGAACCCTGAACTGATCGCTTTCAAAGTCAGCGTTATTCACTGGACCAGTGAGTAACAACAGCCAGTCCTGGATTCCACTGTTAGCTGCCACTCATCAATACTACCAAAGTAAAATTACAGAGTGTCGTGGTTTCCGTACAGAAGCCTATCCGTAGAGGCCAATCAGTTCAGTTCAATCAAAAACGGGAAGTTACAAACAAAAGCATGGGAAGGGTTTTGTTTGTCGGTTTAATAATTGGTTGCAATTGAAACGTGTTTAGCGGTTCATCAACAGAATTAACCATTCGTATGTTGCCTTTTACTTTCTCTATTTCATTTTATAAACTAAAGCTTACTTTTCTTATGTCAATCGATCTGAAAAATTAGAGTGATAAAAGGCAGGGCGCAGATAACAATATGAACCTGAGTTACTAACCGGATGCGAATCAATGTACCTATAAAGTCCTCCGTGGTGATCAAAGCTTGTCAAATATGTTTACAGCATGACTGTTATATTATGATGCGATTATGAACTATAAGTGTTGGTTGGGACACGATGCAGTATATAATACTGTATCCCTGTGTCACACAGGATAATCTAACTTAACATAGAATAAGGAGACATGATACTACAACGTAGTGTAACGGATGTTGTGTGATTGCAGAAACGTCATAAACTGCTGAAATCACAAGTAACCGTATCCGTAAACTGCGTATTTTCCAACTGGAAACAGAAACAACTAATCAAACCCAAGGTCATCAGGATAAGCTGCTAAGCCACTTGGGGAGAAAATCCCATAACTCCTTTCCTTCTGAAGTTGACGCCTATAATGCTGTCAAGGATGACAATGAAAGCTTCACAACTACACTATACAACTTCTCAAGCAAATCGACTACTCACTTAGTAAACCTCATGGGAGAACAGAATAATCATATTCACTTTTTTCGAAAAAAAGTTGGCACTAAAGTTTATACTGAGTAATCACGCCGAATCTGCTTCAGATCAGCTGATTTGCTGGTCATAATTTTTGTATTTTGGCGCAATCTCGTTTATTTTTGTAAAATAACACTTGATGATAGAAAATACCAACAACTTATTAAAGTATTGTAGATGTTTCTGACTTTTTACTGAAAATTCTTTGCATCAAGCCAAAAATCCAATTACGAGAAGATCAAACACGAGAGTTTACTCATTTCGACCTTTAAATCACAGTTGATTTCATTCGATGTCTTGCACTACTTCTCTTTAATCATTTTATCAACATGAGTTATGCATTCTTCAAAAGAATCCATATGTTACTACAATACCCTGTATAGATAATGTGAAGTCACAGAAAACCATTTACAGATATAAGCAGCGAACGTAGTGGTGAAACGTGTATACAACGCGGAAACTATTTGTTTATGTATTTATATAAACAACTTCAGTAAAAATATGAGAAACTGTAAACAACAGAAATGATTTAACACTGGAAAAAGTGTCGTAGTCGGAAAAGACTTTCGAAGTGTGTTTCTTCTAACCTGCTAAATAAAAACAAGGTGAGGGGGGGACAAATGATACCAAGAAGACAGTTTTAGATTAATTTTTCATAATGCTGTAATCTGTCACTTATGTAATATATTTTTGAGATGAATGGGGATTTTTAGTTTTAGAAGTAGTATTCATCATGGACTGACACCAGTTGGGGAACCATTGGAAATCTGGGAGCACTGGACAGCTGTTTCGTCCCAGTATGGGATTCGTCAGCAGTACGCACCCACGACCCTACTAGGGATCGAACTCAGGACCTTCAGGTTTCACGGCGAACGCGTTAACCATTCAACCACTGGGTCGGTTCCCAGTGGTTCACCGTGAAAGCTGAAGGTCCTGAGTTCGATCCCTAGTCGGTCGTGGGTGCGTACTGCTGACGAGTCCCATACTAGGACGAACAAGCTGTCCAGTGCTACCAGATTTTCAATGGTTCCCCAACTGATGTCAGTCCATGGTAAATACTATTTCTAACTTACGTTATAGTTATGAAATATATTCCAAATAGAATGAATATTTGCCTGACATGATTTAAGAACACTTCAGTGTCTTTTCTATGGTTATATGTTTTGAGATAAACCGCTAGTGAACTACACATTAGAATGCTAGTTAGTGATTTATTTTTTCAAACAGGCAGAGAAATTTAGTGATGAATTCTACTGGCAGTATGTTACTATATCGTGTCTCATAGTGCTGTGTACAAATGAATTAGTTATTTATTTATGAGAAACATGACAAACTTAAATGTAACCCGAAAATCATTAGATGAACAAAATATTATTTTCATGTTACGCCACATTGGTCGACCAATGGAGACATGCTCACAGGCTTATAAAGAAACAAATAGTTCTGACCACATCACATTGTCTAATAGAAAGATCTGTGGTGTTCAAATAAAGAAAATTTGATTTAATTTGGAGGTTTTAGGGTATTCACTTATTTCAGGTTGGTATTCCTCACGGACTGACATCATTTTGAAAACCATTGGAAGCCTGGGAGTACTGGACAACTGTTTTGCCTGAGTATGCTGCTTCATAGCTGTGCCCACCCTTGACCTTGACAAGACTTGAACCCAGAAGCTGCAGGTTTTTTACCATTGAGCCACCATGTTCGAATCCATCATTCCCAATCTACCCACTTCTGTCCTGATATAGCGAAAACTCTATCTAATGGTGTCTTTTAGTAACTGTCCTTAAGTCGGACTTGGTTTTCCCCATGGATTACGACTTCTTACTAGAACTTAGAGAATTTCTCCTCGAAGCAAATCACTAATGATCTGAGTTGAATGTGTGGGTGGAACTAAAACTCCATTTGGTGGACAAATACAAAAGTTGGTTGAAAAGTCAGCCAAGTATTTATCTATTAATCAATAAAATACACTCCTTTTCCTAGTCTAGTTGACATAATGCTTCAAAGTACTTCTAAAAGACATGGCAGTTTTTTCAACGTATAAAACAGCATTGGAGATGATAACTATGCTGATAATGAGTATTATTTTGGTGATGAGTCGATTCTAAGTAGCTGCAAGGTTTCTAATCAGCTGGGTCTCTTAGCTCAGTTAGCAGAGTACTGAGGCAGTAACCAAGAGATTGCTGGTTGGAACATGACCACTACCCAGGTTCTCATCGTACAACCAATCATTACCTAGGGTGACTCATAAATAAACTTATATTCCTCATCTGATTCGAGCATACTGTGAAAGATTTTATAGGAGTTGCCTTACATAAGTAAATTACCATAATAAATATTCAGGCAATATCGAGGTATCAGCATAGGGGCTGGTATGCCAACAGACGTCGAAAAACTCGGTCTACTGTAACAACGGAAAACCACAACTATATCAACAAGAAGCTATAACTAATACTTGTTGTACAATAGGTAGCTTTCGTGCCTCAGTGACTTTAGCGTTTGAAGCAACAGGTACAGGATTCGAGTCTCAGTGAGAATAACATCACTCATTGGGGTACAGGCCCATCCAGCTGACGAGTCCAAAATTGGGAGGAACGCGCATCCTGGATTCTTCTGTCGGCAACAATCAAGTAAATTATCATGATAAATATTCGAGAAATATCGAGGCGTCGGCATAGAGGCCCATATGCCAACAGAGACCGAATAATCCGATTCATTGTAACAATGGAGAATGACAACTATATCAACAAAAAGTTGCCTTACATAATCAACAAGGCGGATGCACTACAGCAAACAGTTTTAATTTCTGTTAATCATCTTAACAAGTAAATGCCTGTATACAAAATAATAATAACTAAAACACAGAAACAAAGTAAACAGAAGTATTATAAGATGAAGCTATCGGTAGAATTAATCAGTCATGTTAAATTTTCGCTTTACAGTAAAACTATTCACTTGTTTATCATACATTCAGGTGTTTTATGATTCCTACTACAACTTGACTAACTACTTTATTACATTGTTTATAGAAGAAGAACAGTAGGTCATATACAAGGTAATCGCAGAACCATCATTTCTTTAAATGTGCGCGCGTCTGCCACCACACCACTTCAAGGTTTGTTTTCATCTTCAAACAGTAGATGTCTTTTTCTATCAATTACAAAATAAACAAATGAAATTTAAAAGATTACAAATATGTTGAAAATAAGAATTATCAAGTCAGTGTTTACTTGTTTTATTACTTGCCAATTGTTTCACTTTTGAATAGATTTTGTTTATCTTAATCACTTTCAACCGGTAGTTTAGTGCAATGAAAGTAAACAATGATTCAATTTGTGAAGCTTGTGAGACTATTTTAACAATGGAAACTAAAAATCATTTTAATTATGATTATCCTTATCAGTGTAGTGGGATTGGAGGTATGCACTGCATCCCACTTGGGACCCGTTATTCATGTTTACTTTTATATGAAAGTAGTCATCGTTCCGAGTACCCAACTTACTATAATCAAATTTTGTTCACCGAGTTTTTAGTTCCTTTAAGGATTTTCAGTATTTTTCTTTCCTGACTTACCAGACTTAAATAATTTTTCTGTATCGACATAGTGACTGCTAGTAGTGATCATTTCAGTTTCGTGAATTCAACACTAAGACAGAATACAAATGTCTTTCTAAAGTTACTAGGCAAGAAGAATATATCGTGCCTCATAAGCTGAGTGACAAGGCATTTGGAATGATCAATATTGAGTTAGATTCACACGAGTAATACCAACACTTGAATGGTAGTACATCCAGTATACAAGTGTTGAAAAGGTAGAGGTTTGGGTCCTCACATTTACTGTTAGGAGATGAATGTAATCAAGATGTACACAGTATACAGTGGTGATATACTCACTGCAAGCAAATATTATACTAACGGAGACTAGTCAGCCCATTCTTCTGCATTTAAATTTTGTAACGACCAGGTTACAATGGATCAATTAGAATATGTCACTCTTCTTTTGTATGTTTGTTCAACATGAGATGTGAAGTTCCAGCGAGTAAAATAACTCACATCCAAAAATGAAAGAAGTCGTCCAGCCGAAATCAAATAGACCTAGCTTATGTAATTAATTTGTAACTTACGAAATGCCATATGCATTCTAGAAAAAGCTCTAAGAACACGTTTGAATGATAAAATAAATTTAACTCTGAATGAAACTTCAATCCATCTAAAAAAGTTTCTCCCAACGTATAAACACATCAATACGAAAGCACAAAATTTACTTCCGTGAATACTTCATTGAAACGAGGATGGTGGTCTTTATTCTACTACTACTACTACTACTACTACTACTACTACTACTACTACTACTACTACTACTACTACTACTACTACTACTACTACTACTACTACTACTACTACTACTACTACTACTGCTACTACTACTACTACTACTACTACTACTACTACTACTACTACTGCTACCATAAAAATAGTCAGGACATCAAGTGAGTTGACTTAACCATCAGAATATCACTAGTGGATGAATAGTATTAACAAAAGTTGATTCAAACTGAATTATCACACTAGTTAAGTTATGCTACCGTGTGTAGTATTTATTTTGTCTAGATACGAAAAAAGGTAAACTTGTTCGACGTACTATGTCATGTATGCACACACACGCACACATACATCTGAACTATGTGTCCTAATATAATTGTGCGAGAATGTGACATTTCGCCAAGAAAATATGTACTTTTGCGTTGTGTATTACATATTTAAGCTGTAGGTAAACAACACTGACGCGTGGAGAAATGTACGACGCTTAGATTAAGGTTTCCTTTTAGTTGCCTCATACTAATCCATATATATTATATGAATTAAGGCACTGTATAGCTAGTGGAGCTGTGGGTCTCTCGATCGGGCCTTCTCCTTTTGACTAGTAAGTGAGGAGTTTGAACCCCAATGTGCTTTTCGTTGGATCGCTCGTTACTCTCTGCTTAAAAATTCATGTAGTTCCCAATCTGCATTGCTCTCTATATTTTATGCTAATTTCTTTAATCATATTGATCCTCACTAAAGATGTTTGATGTATTTTGCCGTCGGTTGCTTTGAGACAAGTGACATAAAACTTTGAATACGTCTTTCACATTCACATGTACTCATCAACCAGCCATTTCTGTAGGTAAAACTAGACACATATTGTCATGAAAGTCAGTAGGCCATTGGCTCGAATCCTGTTATGGCTCATCTTTTAATTTCAATCATCACTCCAGATCATTGAAACCAGTTTGGTCACATCATCTCATTGGAAAAGTTATTTTTTTAAGTATAAGATATTCAGCGAAGAGACTCTTTTCAACGAATTTATTTTCAAGCTGTACAATCATATATATATGGTATTTGGAAAAAATTATATCCTGTGAGGAAAACTAAACACTATATGGTGATGACAATAATAATAGAGCGGGTGATGACATAGGCATTTATGATTATAATAACAATTGAAGTGCGAATGATAACAAATAGATTACGCAATGTATGGAATGGTACATAGAGAGTATATAACTCAGAAGGGGGTGAAAAAATTGTTGAAAATGGTAAATCAATCAAGTATTATGTAATGGCATTAGACAAATTGGACAAGATGAAGTCAATGTTTTCTAAAAGGATTAAGACAATTAGGTGAAACAACAACACCGGAAACTAGTTGAAGTGAAGGCGATTATATTAACAATAATTGTGATAAAGAAAGGATACAAAGGATAAATTAACAAAGTGGGAGGGGGAGCTAATGGGGTGAGAAAATGTTATGGCCATGATAAAGACAGTGACTGCACATACTTCTTTTGTACACACAGATCAGGTCTTAGTTCATGAATAGCTAAAGCCTCCGCTGTTTTAAGGAGTTGAAAACGAAGAGAACGTGGGAGGTTTGGGCGAATTTGATGAATAATTTCAAAGTCATCGTCTGGATTTGTTGTGTGATGGAAGTCAATCAAATGTTCTAGAATCGAACTTCTAACAGACTTTCTTTCACCTTTATAAAACCAAGGAGGAACATGTTCTCGTATACGTGTAGAAAGCATTCTCTGGCTACGGTCGATGTACCTTGCTCCACAAGAGCAGGTGAACTGGTAGATACCTATGTCATCACCCGCTCTATTATTATTGTCATCACCATATAGTGTTTAGTTTTCCTCACAGGATATAATTTTTTCCAAATACCATATATATATGATTGTACAGCTTGAAAATAAATTCGTTGAAAAGAGTCTCTTCGCTGAATATCTTGTTCTTAATGTTACAATGGGAATTATTAAATTTTTTAAGTGTCGTAACTGTAATATTTAAGAACAGCTGAACAAATGGAAAGTAGGAAAATATGTGAACAGACTTCCAGTATGCTGTTGCATCAGTCAACTATATGGCCTCATTCATATCTCGTGGTTGGGTGTTGTAACACTCAGAGGGGAGAGCGTGAGGTCAGTATACCAGAAGTCGCTAACTTGAATCCTGTCATGACCATGGTTTCCTTTTCAACTTCAACTACAATCCCTTCAAATTGATATCCCTCGCCAAATAACCTTAAAAATTCTGTTGCAATATTGCCCAAAGCAACTGATAATAATTAGAGACATCAAAGGAACAATGTGAGATAAGGTCAGTTACGTGACCACTTGTGGGTGTAGTAAGCTGGGTACAAATTCCAATTAAAAATTTGGTGATTCATTGAATTTAGTTGAGTCTCAACTGGTTATTCATCGTAGGCATATTTATTTAGTGATCGTCAGAAAGACACATCAAGGGAGACAGTTAGCTAGAAGGGATGAGTATTGGGGTCAAAGTTGAAATTTACTTCTTAAGTCAATATCTATGTTCAATAGTTTTATTAGTCAAACCGCATTTTTACGTATGTATATCTAGTCACCTTTCCTGGGGCGTTGCTCTATGCGTGTCACTTATAGACATAACATTGTACATTGAGGGAAATTGTCTTAGGAATAACATTATTATCCTCTCACCTCAGGTTGTTATGACGCATACTTGTAAGCGTGCGTGAATGTATGCTCTACAGTCTGAGTGAAATAGACCAATCCAATGAACAGAATGGGAAATTACCTATAAATTCATGTGTGTGTGTGTGTGCATGAAATCATGCCTACGAATAGAAAGGCGAACAAACGAATGGATTCAACAACTGGAGCACCGACTAGATAAATAGGAATAATAATGATAAAATGATAATCTACACAGTAGAAATTACGGCTATTGCCACAGTTACTATAAGATTAGCAACAGAATCAGTGTATTAAGTAAAACCCTGAAAGCATTACTTCATCCTTCCAGTTATTACTATTATTATTATTGTCTTCATTGACTCATGCATATCTCTGTGAGTGATTTGCGTATGAATGACAAAACATAATTCTAGTCTTGGATTTAACCTTATAATTTATACAGAATCACGTTTAAGTTCTGATTAACTGAAAAAGAAGAAAGAGAGAAACGAGTATTTCATGCACAAAAACCAACTACGGGTAAGTACACTTCAATTAAAGTATTCACTCATACAGTTACTGAATTATGTTTCAATAAATCAGTGTTCCCTGGTGTTTGCCTAGAAACTTTGTTACAGAGATATCGTCGATGTTTGTGTAACAAAAAAATACTAACCAGTTTAAAACCAGTAAATCCCTCACAAACCTCAAAATTAAATTACTGTCCAACGCTCATCAGTAACTAGCTTCAAGATGAAATCTCTTGGAGTTTTAATGAGAATTCGTGACCAGTGGGACAAACCTTGTCTGACGTGAGAGTAGACACTCAGAGACAATGCTGGATGAAGTTTGCGATATATAGAATAATGAGAACTACGGGATCCCGATAGGGTGCCTCAACGGTACATTTTTGGCCATGAAACTGGAAGGTCGTGGTCAGAACCCTGCATACACATCGCTGAGGAATATCATACTAGGATGAAACAGCTATCAAGCGTTCCCAGGTTTTCAGTGATGAATATCAACTTGAAACCAATTAAATTCCTACAAACCTCTAGCTTAAAAAAATACTTACTCAAGGAAACTGGTTATTTGCAACACTGATTACAGTGATTGTCTGACAGTAGTCTTATATTTTGACAAGGTTGTTCCCCTTGATGTAAGCTTAATTATTTAACAATGTAGCTGGATGGATTCACTTCGAATAACGGAAATGTACATACCGTCTGCACTCACTCAGTCAGTCAGTTTTCAGTTGACAATTTCATAAGTTGGTTGAGAAAGTAGTTTGTCCGTTCACTGACAATATAAATATCGAACTCAGAGAATTCGGCTCAGCTCGATGCACTAGTAGTGACTTCGGTGCAGGATAATAAGGTCCACACTATACTGATATGTCAGTTGAAAGAATTACTGATACAATTTGTTCCATAAACTTTCTTTATTCAGTAGTAAATTTGGTTCATCTAAAACAGTTTCGTATCTAATCGATTACTGACACTATTCAACCTATTCATGAGAAATCACAATGTGACCGTCGTAAACTCTTCAAACGGTCTAATAAATCTTTTTGTTGAGACAGACACTAGATTTCACCAGTTATTTATTTTTGATGTCATCCAAGACTTGTATCGACGAGTTTCAGGCAATCAATCAGTCAACAATTCTGAAATGACAACAAACAAATATAGAGACAGTGAGCATTTCGAAGTTTGAAAGATTAGTAAACACACTGTCATCTTTTCAAAATAAATACCATGGGAAGAGTATTACTTCGCTGTTTTAAGCTATGTGTTCTTGGAAAATGTTCTACGAAAACGAAGTTTCAATCGCTTGATTTTTTTTAGTAGTATCATCAATCATCACTAATTCCATCCATAGACAGGCATACAGTTATTTAACGGTGTTACAAATTTGTTCTAAGTAACCAGCATGGAAAATCAATCCGTATTTCTTCTTGTCACAAAAACTAGACCGATCGCTAATCATCATATACCGGTATGTATGATGAGTCGATAATTCAAAAAAAACTGTCGTAAACCAGTCAGATATACTACTGTACAGCATGGGTAGTCAAAACCCGCTGCCGATGATCTGTAGTAGCTTGGTTCATATTTAGTTGACCTGAATTATTCACTTCTTGTAAGGACTGTATTTTTCTGGACACACTAGCGATCGGCATATCTACGACGTGATGAAAAAGTCACTTGATGCTTAAACTATTCCAGTATGGTTGGAGTAAATTGAAAGTCAGCCTGAATGCTCTCCAATTATTCAATTTTTTGGAATTCACCTTCCACTGAAGCTAAGCAAGTATTGAATTTATGAAGTAGGTCGAAATCGAACAAAAAATTCAACTGCATCACAGGAACAGCAGGTGAACTGCATAAGTAGACAACAATGGCATCGCAAGAAAAAGTATTTGTATATCTTACAAATTATTTCAGCAATAACATTTCGAAAAAGCCGAAAACCAGATCTATGAAACATGGAATAAATTTTTTCTTATTGTTGCTTCCTT